AGAAGTTTTTATACTTCTTTATTAATAAAGTCTTAATATTTGCCTTAAAACAACTTGAATTTTTTTTTTTTAATAGTCTAACTGATAGGATGAATTTTTATTGAGAAATCAGTAGTACATTTTTAAATTATATAAGCAATTTATATAATCTTATTAAACTATCTATCCTAATCAAATCTGTTAATTTTATCATATAGTGGTATCATTTTTATCAGTTGCCCTGCTCTACCTGGGGCTATAACATTTCGAAAGATCACTATGGACTTCTTATTATTAATCTTTAAGGGGCTTTGTGTTTTGTGTTCCTTAGTGGAGTTTTGTTTTACTGCTTAATGATTATGGGTACCATAGATGATCCCTACCATATTTGAATTCTCTGCAGGCTAGTTGAAACTTAGATGGCACAAGTCTCTGGTCCTATTCTTAATATCTAGGCAATTCAATGGTGTCACATAATTGGGTGATATATAGCTTTTCATTGCCTCATTTTTAATCACTTTTGCAAGTTAGCCTTACAGAAATTTCTCTTGATTACTTTATAATGGATTGCTTCTCCCATTGGATTGGTTACCTTGATGATTGTTTCTGAATTTTTTCTCTCAGGGTTTGCCCCTGCAGGTTTCCCAACATAGTAGTACTAACGTTAATCACTAGCCTTCACAATAGCTGTCCTTTTTGATAGCTATTGGTTTCACGATTATAGAGATCTCCCATTAATTATTGTTATGGCCTATTATATTTCGACAGATACAAATGACTAAAGTCTCTCTTATTTCTTATAGAGTATAGTTTTGACAAGAGGTGGATGTTTTTCCCATATCTGTTAAGAGGCTTAAGCTGATCGACATTTTTCTTGGCTTGTCTTGGATCCTTACATATTCCAGATAGAAAGTTTATTGATTATTTTTATTAACACTAAAACTGGCCAAGATATGGATGACCTGAATTTTATATCATGATCAGATAATAGAAATCTATATGTTATTTGTAAGTACAAGGATACATATGGTGATGAGTATATATTTTGTACAATGTAATCTATATTGTGAAAACTATTTCTGGGTAGTATTGAACCAATAACTCGCAGATGGTGACTTGGAAGTGCATCTACTGTACTATTGACCCACAGATCCCAAAACAACTAGAAATATAACTTCTAGAGTTACATTTATTTATTTTTTTTTTATTTATAAACCTTTTCACTCAAAAATTTGACTTCTAATAATAAAAAAAAATCAAGTAATATATTTAATATCAATAGTAAGAAAGTTTTCAAAGTTACTTTGTAAAAGTCTATAAACTATTATAGATTTTATTTTAATTTCTTAATAAAGACAAGCCATCATGGTATAATTATAGGTTAAAAAAAAAAAGATAAGATTAAATATAAATATTTTTTATATTTTACTTAAAGATTTTGTTTTATTTAAAAAGAAAAGCTTTATTTATTTATTATATAATCTAATAATTTACATATGAAAAGATTTATGAATTTCCAGTATTTAAATTGAGCTTGTTTTGACTCAAGAATAATTATTGTTTTTTTTTTTTTTTTAAATCCATGATCAAGTCAGTACTATATGTTTATTAATTATTAAGAAAACTGATTGAGATATGTAGGGTAATTGCATTATGACTAAACCAAAAAATTCATACTAACACACTCATCAATGGCTTTCAATTCTCAAAAGAGTTTCAGCCTCTAAGTGCAACTTTGGGGACAATATTTTGCTTTGAACTAAGTTTTGAGTAAAGACCCTTCTAACTTATCTATTATTGCCAGCAGATTGTCACTATTTATTATCTTCCAAGGAATTGAATTCGAGAAACTACAAAAGGGGAAAGGAAAAAATAAAAAAAAAGGTAATATCTAAAAATATATAAACATATTACATGAAAATGAAAAGAAAAAAAAGAAATTTAAAATTGCTATATGTCTTCTAAAAAACCTCTGCTAGAAACCTCTTCTCATTAGAAATCAATCCTTCTGGAATATTCTTCTTCTTCCTGATCATCTGAGAAACTTATCCATCTGTGTTCTTGATTATTTTCTTGTGACTATCTGAGGTACTTATCACCTATTCAGATCCAGTATCTTGCTTAATGTTTTCATTCTTTTGATCTTGATTTTGTATCCACTTGCGTAGAACAGAATAGCTAATGATGGACTCCAGATTCTTATATGATTTTCAATCTTGTTGTATAACTTCTGATATCTTTTAGCAATCACATATAATTAAAGGAATTTTACTGGTGTATATTTTTTATTACTCAAAAAGTCAGATTCTTCAATAGTTTTTTTGTCTTGCAATGGTGGAAGGGTCTTGTAGAATATACAGATCCTCATTGATTATGATATATAATAATTATTGTTTCTGTTAGTTTTTAATTATTAATCTATTATATAATTTTATTATATGACTCTTATTTTATAATATCTATATGCTATTAAGGTTATAAATATTTAAGTTATATATAATAGTATTAAATATTAATTTATATGATAAACTTTTATTTTGAAAATATTTTTATAGGTTATCATTAATATATTACAAATTTTTATAATAATGAACTGCATTGTATTCTAAATTCTATTTTAGATATTAGAACTCTATTTAAAATATAAAGGATTTGCTTATTTATTACTTTTTTTTTAAAAAAACTTTCATAATTATTTGATTCTTTTTTTATAATTTTTTTTATTTATTTTAATTGCCATTTTTTTATTGTTTATTTAAATTTTTATGAATCTAATTTATTTGATTTTATTGAGTAGTTCATAATTTCATGTTCTTATTATATAGTTTTAAAAGATTGATCAATATGTTTAATATATTTTCTTTTTTCTTTTAAATTATTTAAAATATTTGTTGTAATCTATCTATCTTATTATTTGAATATTGTTCTAATATATTGATATATAGTATATTATATATATATATTGATTATTTTTTTATAAAAACAGTATATTAAATTGTTTGTTTTATTGCTTATTTGAATATAGATATTAAAGTATAATTTTTTATATATCAATAATACTAATAATAAATTATATAATATATATTATAGTTTTTATTTTTTTTTATTTTTTTTTTCTATAGTAATAACTGTAGGCAAGAATGTTAATAGTTGGAAGGATATTCACTTGAACAACTAATAAAATAAAGAATCACTTTTAAAGTTATACTTAAAATTTGTTAATTAGAATAAACAAGTTATTTAAAAAATTGATTTTAATAATATATACATGTAAATTATATACAGTTTACAAATATTTAATAAAGCACACATAAATAACTAACCTAACAAAGGTTAAAAAAAGATTTTAGCAATATATATATGTAAATTATATATAGTTTACAAATATTAAATAAAGCACACATAAATAACTAACCTAACAAAGGTTAAAAAAAGATTTTAGCAATTCAAAGTATTCTATTTTATGTACAATATTTCAAAATATTGCAGTACAACAATTAAGTACTTCCATCATCCCATATCGGAAACTGTGTGTAACAATGAAGCGTATCGTAACACTATTTTTCTAGAATTCAATTTTCCATGTAGGATAAAAAGCTCACCTCCCGCTGAAACTGGTTGATTAAAAATATTTGCCATGATCAATCCATTTCTCGGTATTTCAATGGTCTTTGGACCCATATTTGGTTACTTTGATCAAATAAAAAAATTTCGGACTACTCAATCGAGTGCAGGATTTTCTTTGGATACAACCGGGATTTTGTTATCTAGCAGGTCGATATCACTTATTTGATAAAAGATTAAATGAGCCAAATAAGTGTTGTTGTCTCTAATCCTTCGATTGGTTATTTTAATTTAGCATCATTCGTATTTACTTTTGGTAAGCAGTTTGCCTCGAAGTTTTGACCATCAATTGATGTCACCTGTCGCCTTACTTTTCATCAAACAATAGGTTGGGAAAAAGATTCGACATTATACTTCTTTGGCAAAGCGTGGCGATGATATTCACACAAATTTGGCTTCTTTATGAATGCATTATGTATCGACGTCCAACTTCGATAGATATTCGACAGCGTTGGTTTTGGAATTGGTACACCTTTCAGCCCTACATGATTTCTTTGGCCACGTTGGTTACGCTGTTGAGTTTAACGTACGAATTCTTTGGGAGAGAAGTTTGGTACATCGAACTCTTGGGATATTTGGTAAGGTGCATTATAATATATTTATAAATAATTGGTTTGATTCCGGTCATTTTCATCCCACGAAATTTTTAACAATCATAAAGGCGCTTGGCATTGAGAGCACAGTTCCCATGCCACAGGCATGGCAGAATTATAAGAATAGATCTGTGAGAGGATTCAGGTAGGCGTGGAAATTTTATTCAATCTATACATTGCTGGCGATTATTTTAAATTCGAGGACTAATACCAATTCCCCTCAAACACCGATTTCATACTGTTCTTGTGACTCCTTTATGGTCATACTCATAAAACTTCAACTCCTTTCGGTAATTCCAAACAGCTTAATCATCATCATTACGTGGTTCACGGGCGACGCGTTCAAAACCTTCTATTATACTCACACAGGAGCGCCACTTCAATTTATTCTTTGTGGTTTTATACAACTATGTGTAGACTGTATTATTGTCATCCAATATTTTATTTATAAATAATATGTAATTTAGTTAAGCAGTTTCCTACAAACCCAGAATTTATTGTTTATTCGAAGCAACTAAGCATCATTGATAAAATAAATATCACACGGCTTGTTTCAAGAAACTTTTTTTATTGAAAAACAACTCGGAGTAAAGGGGGAGGCAAGCGGATGGAAGATAAAGGAAAATATTTGAAGGAATTTTTGTGGGCGTCTTTTAATTGTAAATCTCGTATATAACTTGATCCGCTTCATAGGGAGTAATTAACCCGTCGTTATCTTTTTCATAGAAATTGAATAACCCTATTTTTGCGTGTGAAATATGTGAGCGCGATGCAAAGGAAACGTCAGAAATCAAAGTAGAGTACTCAGCACTCACATTTAACATTCTCCAGCTTATCATCCGATATTTTATGATCATCCACAAAACTCTTGAGGTCAAGTAGTTTAACTATTTCTTTATGTGAATCCATCACAAAGCACTCCTCATTCTCCTCCTCACTGCTCACCATATACTCATCCAAATCTATGAGCGTAGAATCATCTTCGCTGTCTTCTTCGAACGAGCTCTTTCTCACAGCATATTTATCACCTTCCAATTCTTTCTTTTTATCCGACGAGTTAGTTAAACCTGATAATGGAATATCAGACGACATCATGCTTCCAAAAGAAGTGACTTTTCGGAATTTTTTACTCTTCAAGGAATTTCTTTTGTACTTGCTGTAATTGTGTTTTGACGTTGTAATATTCTTTTTACTCTCGTTACTGTGAGAGGACGTGGTTTTCCCGAAATAATTATGAGAAAGAGCAGTGTGTAAAGCTTTTTTTATGCCATTAGTAATATTGAGAAATAACGTTTCTTTGTATGCCGGAATTTTGCCATTCACCAGTGAATCATCATTATAGTCAAAATCTTCTTTTTTAGTCGAAGGAACTTTGTTGCTCATATTTTTCAATGGGTATGCATCTACGTCATCATGTGAGTCGTCGCCCGGTAGCATAAAATCGACCATCGTTTTTTGCGACCATCTCCTATTACTTTCGGTACCGGTTTCACTGTTTTCTCTGTCGAAGGAACGCGTTTCATTGGACTCAGTATAGTCAAAAGTCTCCATGAGAATACATTCTCCGTCGCTTGTATTGAAGTCGGAAGTTTCCAAGGAAAAGCTTTGATAGATGTTTTGAAACCTAACCAGATTTGTGTATGAACATGGGGAAGGGCAGTCGGTTATGAATGCGTGGTATTGATCAACTTTATGGGACGTCGGCAGACTGCAACAATAAATAGGGGAACGCGAGTTTCTGTAAGCGAGGTTATAAACACCCATTACCCGCCGGAATTAAAAAGAATGTTGTAAACACGTACTTAAAGAACGCCGGCCTGACGATCACCCATTCATTCTCTTTTTGGCCCACGTTCGTTTCAAGTAGCTCGTATCCGGGTTCATCGTCTTCCGAATTGTTATTTAAAATCGATGAGTTTTTGACATTTTGCCTTTGTTGCAAAAGGGCAATCAGCCTTATTGTTTGCTCACGCGAGAGGTCGAAGAAATCAAAAATTCCTTTAAGAACGGCATCACAAATTTTAACGAGGGGAAAAGAGTTATGAGAATTGGTGGTGCTCATTTTTTTTTTTTTTTTGGTTTAATATGATCAATTGAGATTTTTTTTTTTTTTTCTTATATCTGGGACTCGCCCTAAATATCTTTATTTAATGTGAATGAGTATAAGGTATATATATATATATATGTATATATTCTCAAGATAACAAGGTCTTGCCTCGATATCCTTGGGAAAAAAAGAAAGGTTAGAAGACAGCGAAGATATTTACAATGTAAAGTGTTTATTTTTTTTTCGAGGAAGGGGATACCCGCAAAGTTTATATATACTGTTTTTCGGGGAAGCGACATATCCAGCTACGCATTAATTGGTCGAAAGGATCATAAAGTAAGCTCAATGCACATGGGCAATCGAATGTAGCAATTTTAAGGTGTGTATGTTTCAGGAAAAGTTTCGTGCAAAGTTTTAATGTTTGCTTTGTTTCAAATTTTATTTGATAGAAGTGGATTCGATAAAGTAGGGTAGTCTAGCCTGTATCACGCCATAAGCTTGCAAGGTTATATTTCATATTGTCTCATGCGTCAATAATATTTCGCGTAAACAAGGACTCGTTTGACAACGGATCATCCAGGTTGTCGGGATTTGGTTCTCGAATCAATTGCACAGATCGTGCAAACAAGGTTTTGTGAACCTATGGTGTGGAATTAACCCTTGCACGAAAATTTTCATTCACAACAAATTTGGATGGATTTTCTGATTGTTGTTTCTGGCGCGTAGCTCCATAATTTACCAGCATGCCGTTTTAATTCATAGAAGGAACAAAGGAAAAAGATTTGGTGTTATTGTGTTGACCGATAACGATTGATTTTATGCGAGTCAACTTCATTGACAAGTGAATGATGAACACACAGGAGTGTAGAAAAGGAAAGGTGAGAACATTGAATAATTCATCTCAAAAAAAGTCTTGAAGGGCAATTTATTCAGCAAACTTAATGGTGCTAATATTATGAGGTGCGCATTCATTACTTCCATTGCACTGAAAAGGCACCCTTGTCCATTCAACCTGAAAATGGAAGACGGCGAAATGTTCAAGTTTTTTTTTGGAAATACGCAAAAGCGATTGGATGTTACAACGTTGTTACATTCACCCGTGGTCATACTCATGCATCAAATTAACACGAGAGAGACGATTTGTAATTTACGAAAAAGAAAAAAAATCATAATTATCGTGAATTGCAACGCAAAAAAGAACTTTTTGTACTGTAGAACTATTATTATATTTACTAGATTAGATATTTGCTATTATTATTTCTAATAAACCGTACAAAGAAACCATTAAACTTTTTTGTTTCGCGTTATCGTAATTTGTTGTCCATGTGTTTTACGTCCATATATCATTTACAGTGTTGATTGGCAAACCTCTGACTCACTATAAGCGAATTCTCTTTCACAATTGAAGAGAGGAATTTTTCAAAAAATATAAAAAATATAATCTTTTTTCAAAAAAAATTGAAATCAAAAATAGCGGATTCAAGGATTATATCTATAAATAAATAATCAATTATTATTAGTTTAAAATATTGCTATATCTTAAAAATCATGAGTAAAAATTTTATTTATTTATTATAAAAATTATTTTTTTTTTTTATTTGAATTCAAAATTTCAAATTCAAAAGGTTGAACCAACATTTTAAACTTATTATTCAAAAATTTTTATCTTTTACATATAAAAAAATATTTTAAATAAATATATGTAAAAATATCCAAAATATATTTTTAACAATATACTGTACTGTATATTGTTTAATTTAAATAATAAAATTTTGTATAAGCTAATAAATTGTAATTTAAAATAAATATTTATTCAAAAAAATTTTTTTAAAAAAAACAAATATTTTAATTTATTATTGATTATTTATTTATTTTTTATAATATCTTAAACAAATTGAATTATCATTATTATTATTATTAACCCACAATCATGCTATGATGGCTTGTTTTTATTGAAAATCAAAGTAAATCTATAATATTTTACAAACTTTCACAAAGTGACTAACTCGTCTTTATACAAAAGTATTCTAAGTCAGATTTTGAAGACAATATTACATTATCCTAATAGATTGATAATAATCTTTATTTATTAAGATCATTATCAACAGTTTGTTACTGTTAATTGCTCAAAAATCAATAAATTGCTAAGTTAAAAAAGGAAAACAATTTAAGATCCACCAAAAAAATTCAAAATAAAAATAACCACTTTTCAAAAGAGATCTACATAATTAAAATAGTCTTCTTGCTTTACTTAAACCTTGAAATAAATTTTTTTTTTCATCACTTACAGTATTAGATGAGTCAATCCAATTGATATTTTATTTAAGTGAGTACTGGATTGAAATATCTCAAGAAAAGCATTTAAACCTCAGCTTTTTTTCATTAAAGCTTTGTTATTACTTGAGAAACTTAAGTAAGAAATAGAAGGTTGCAATTCATATTACCTATCACTTGATCTTTTGGTGTAATAGAAGTCTTCATTAAAGGACTTGAACTTTTTAAGGATAAACCTTTTCAGAATTTTCTTTTCAATCATCAATGATATTATTAGAACACATAAATATAACTAATAGGAGCTTGTTTACACTTTAAAAACTAACATGTTTCATGTTAATCAATCACCTTTGATAAGGATTTGTACAACTCAAAATTTAGAGTCAAACTGAGGCAGGCAAAATTTTCCAGAAAACAATAAAAGTGGAAGCTTTAAAAGGACTAAAACAGTCAAAAAGGAAAAAAATAAACCTTTTTATTGTAGAAAACCTCTATAAACCTCTTGTTTCAAAGGTTAAATAAATCTTCAAGTACTTTACAGTCAATTCTTCTTCCTTTGGAAACTTTCTTACCATTGGTATCAAAGGTGTTACTTGACTTTTATTGATTATTAGAAGTCAAGTTTTTGAATGAAAAGGTTTGTATACAAAAAGAAAAGAATAAAGATAACTCTTGAAGTCATACTTCAAGTTTTTTAAGGAAAGTATTAAGATTTTATTGGCAAAGAAGTGTAAAAACTTCTTGTAAACATCTTTTTTATATGTGATCAGAGAATAAATGAAAAAAATATAGTATTAATAAATTGAATTATAATTTATTAATCAATTAAAAATATAAATATATTATTATTTAAGTAGTATAATATACATTATAATTAAATTTTTCTCAAACTCTTTCTATTGATCTTTTGACTATACACAAAAAAGATGTTACAAGAAATTTTTATATTTCTTGATTAATAAAATCTTACTACTTTCTTTATATCAACTTAAAATAACACTTCAAGAGTCATTTTTATCTCCCTTTTCTCTTGTAAACATTTTCTTCAAACAAAAACCCGACTTTCGGTGATCAAAGTTATGAATACACCTTTTCTATCAATGTTAAAAAAATTCTAAAAAAAAGAAAAACCAAAGTGCTACTATCTATTTATTTATTAAAAAAATAATACAGAGCTTTTATGATAATGGGAGACTTATCTTGAAGGCAACCATCCACTCTCTTGTCATATATTTGCTCTAAGAGTGCTCTTTCTTAGTTTTTTCTGGAGAATTTTACTTACCTTAGTTTAACTCTAAATTTTGAGTAGCACAAAATTTTTTAAGTAATAATTGATTAGCAGAAAATATATCAGTAAAGAATATAAACAAGTCTCTATTGGTTATCTCACATATCTGAGTACATTTTCTCAACTCTATAAAAACCTAAAATTCACCTTAAAACATTAGGTTATAGTGCAGGTAAATATAGAACACAGTCTCTTCTACATTGGTATCTTAATCAAGGAAGAATTCTAACAACATATTATACGAATCTATCAAGTAAAACTATATCTATAACAAGATTCAAGGGTATATAAAAAGAGAATAATATCTAAAAGATATTATATCTATCTTTTAAAAATATTAAATTGATAGATTGGGAGGTTTATCATTCATATCAACCAAATAGCAGAACTAATATATAGTCTAAAGAAAAAATGATTATGGTTCAATTACTCAAGATAGTAGTACTCTAGGAAAAATAGTATAATATTTATCAAATTCAATAAAGCACAAGTTGAATATGTCAAGACATTCATTTCTAAAATAGAACCATCACAATAGTAAAAAAGAACAGATTATTGAATAATGGGTTCCTATCCTCTAATACTTATATAGCTTAAAGGAAAATACACTGGCAATATTATTAAGCTACTTCTTTCCTATATCTTAGAAACTCCTTGTAACTCATAACTTATTATTACTTGAAAGAACATCAATAGAGATTTCATTTTTTTTTTTTTTTTTAAAAATAATGATTCAACCTTGTTTTATTAAACTTTCAAGTTAGGGCAAAATACAAATACAAGAAATAATTACTAATAAAACATTCCTAGAGTTGTCTATAAAAAACTATAACTACTATTTTGATTCTATAAGCTGGTTACTCTTTGAGGGCTTCGTCAGTCAAAAGTGTATTGCTTGTTCTTCAGCTGTTTTAAGTATTTCCATGTTTTAAAATTTTAACC